ATAACAACAATATCACTCTAATAAATCTACTCTGAAATTTATAATTTCTAATATTGATGAAAGTTTTTTTCTAATTTAAAACTTACTTTATACTTTATACTTTAACACTTTGACTACATCCTCTTTATATTCTATCATCTTCTATACACTTTATAACTTTACATACTAAACATAGCCTAGTACTTTTTATTATATCTCATAACTTTATATTATTAAATACACAAATCTTATAATTTTAGCTTTACTTTTAAATTCATTCAATTAAATACTCTTTTTACTCTATATTTATTTTTTCTTAAAAAAATTCTAGGTGAGTCTTTGACTACTTTAGTAGATTTAGGTTATGGATAAAGTAATCTGAGTTTTTATTCTTGCATATAGTTTTATTTTTTATATTTTATATATTAAAGTTAGCAACTCTTTGTAGTTACTATGATAAAAACTATTAATAAAAATATGAGCAAGGCCTTACCTTAATACCAAAAAAAAAATATATATATATAACAAATATGATTTTAAACAAATTAATCAAAAAAAATAATAATCAAATTCTTACTATTATAAATAATATTAATTGTTAAATTTACTACCAGATTTTACATATCTACTACCAGGTTTCACTACCAAGTTTCATAATTCTATCATTAGGTTTTATATTTTTACCATTAGGCCTTACAAAATTATAATTTTGCATAGCTTTCTTCATGGTTGCTAATAGTTTTTTAGAAGACCTGTAAAGCATATTCAAAAATATTTTAATGAAACCTGGTATTTACAAGGTATCTCTAGTTAAAATTCACCTAATAATTTTTAGATCTATCTGATGATTTTTAAGATCTGCTTGATAGTTTAAAATTCATTCAGTAGTTTCTGAGATTCACCTAATAGTTTTCAAAATTTAATAAGAAAAAAAAAATATTATTATATATCTTTAACCTATATATAACCATTATAACTAGCTAATTAAATTGTTATATCTAATCTGTAAAAATATATATACAGTATATATCTATACCTATATACTAAAAAAAATAAGTGTAATGATAACATTTATATTACCTCTTTTATAATGTATAACGATAACATTTAGAATAGCAAAATAAATAATTGTGTTAAATTGTATTATTTAACTGTATGCCGCTTTTTATTGGGCATATTAGTGATGTGTTTTCTATCAGATTCGATACTAAGCACGTTTAATAATTTATTCACGCTTTACATTTCTATTTTTTTTATTTATTGCTTATTTTTTTATTTTTAGCTTTAACCTTCGTGCTTATTAATTAATAACTTTTTCTTCACTTTTGTTCTATTACCCTTTTTTTAGAGTTATCTAAGTTACTTTTCAACAACTAAACCTCTAATTCAACCAATTCTGATACAGGTACATGTTTGATATAATATTCACGTTTTACTTTTTTTTAATCTTTTTTTTTTTTTTAATTAAACTCATACTAATTACTTTCGAGCTATAACCGAACTATATAAAGTTGCCATCGTTACGACTTTAACTATATTATCTACTTACACAGATAAAACAATAAATCTTTTTTACAAGTATTCATTCAAAACTATTTGGTGCTATATTCAACTATTTCAAACATGTTTTTTATTAATGAAACTCTTTCCGTATTTCTCTTACAAGTAATATAAAATGTTGGAAACTGTTTAGAAGATATTTAGAAGCATTGTATATTGCACCAAGGATTTTTGCAAGAATACTTGCTAAAAAAATTTATTGTTCTACATGTGTTACTACATGCTATTTAGTCTCGCTGTATTTTCCTCCTCATATATTACACAATTTAAATCTATATATCCTATACCTTTATTTAAAATACCATATCTGATACCTTAACTCATGTTTCAGTCTTTTATTCCTTTTCACCGCATATAGTATTACATTTATCTTTCTGTTACTTCTACCTTTTTTTTTTTTTAGGTAAGTTTTTACATACTCATTAGCCTAGAGATCTCATTGCTAAAGTTTATTATTCTTATTTTATATTTTGCTTTTTCTTTATAATTCTTTCTTTTTTAAAACTCATTTTTGTAATGCTGCCTATTCCTTGATTCAAGTATACAGTCATTGCTGAGATTATATTAGCATTTAATTCCTTACTTTATTCACTATTCACTGTTCACTACATTTTTTTTTTCTCTGTTATTTTTCATTTGCTTTATTTACCTTATTTATTCTTTTCACTTTTTTTTTTTAAGGATTTCGTCTTCGAATTTTACCTGAATTTTACGGTTCGTGTGCTCTTAGAATTTCTTTTTACCTCTTTTAAGTTGATGTTAAAACGCAGTCACTAATTGATTTTTACCGTGACAATTCGACTATTACCTCTATCTAAATAGCTTACTGAATGCCATTTTATTTTATTCTTATTAGATTAGTTTCTTTGTACCTTTTCTTTTTTCTTTCGTTAAGGATCGATTTTTTCCTTTCTCTTTGGACCTTTGCAAAATATTTAATTATTAATGATTCATTACTATACTTTTAACCAAATCACATTATTCTACTTATATCTTTATATTTCTTTTTTCTTTTATATAGTTCTCAGTATTCTACTTTTTGTTTGTAAAATCAGCTTTAGGACATATTCTACCTTTCTCTTGCTTCGACGTTTTTCATTATAGCTGAATTCTTCTTTTATACTCTTTAAACTTATCATTATATTGCCTTTTAATTAATTCTCTTCTTCAATTTTTAATTATGATACACATTACTTAGATTCAGATTTATCTTCTTTTTTTGCCATATATACTAATTTATACATTATTCTTTAATCCAGCCACTTAACATTAACAACTCTCTAATGTATTACAAATTAAGTCATCTTTTCACCTTTATTATAGCTAATAACTCTACCATAGCTCTTCATCTTTCTAAGCTTCTGATGTGAGGGTGGTCTAATAGGTCTAAAACTAAAATTAACCAACTATCTGATCTATAATACTAACACTATCCTTTGATGGTTCCAAGGCTCCTGAAATCTTGAGTTGGAAAGCTGAAAAAAAATATAAAAAGACTTGCTCTGATTTCAAGGCTTTTGGGTTTTGCTGTGGCAATATTAAAGACCAGGATAAGTATAATCTTGGGCTTTATCTTTACTGATGATTTGTATGCTTTATTTGGAAGCTAAAGGTATTTCTTTTCAAGTTTAAGCACAAAGAAATTATTCGACTTCAGTTTAAGATTCTTAACAATTGTCACATAGCTATGAAATAAAATCAGTATATTGTTTTAAACGAACAATGACATTGATCAATAATTTAATCAGTGTATACTCTAAAAGAGGTTTTGGATTACTAATAACACCTTTTCTTTTTACTTTTCTGATATACGAATATCAATTTTTACGAGTATTATGGGGACAAGAAAATGTGAAAATGATTTTATTACGAAGCTTCTACTTAACGAATTCGAAGTCAAGACCTTAACTGAGTTCCGAACTCTTAAGTGAGTTATCTTTATTCAAAGTAGATTTTGTCATCCTTATATATATATATTTTTTTATACTAATTTTCTTTACATTTTTCGATTATATCTACTATATCTAACAGTTTTAATATATCTAATATATATGTTAAATATATTAAATCCAACTTATCTATTTTGGACCATCTCGATCAGCTATATGCAGAAAAGTTTTTTTCAAGCCACAATTTACCTTTTCACCCCAATTTCGTCAAATACTGCGTTGATGTACATGTATTTTTTTTTGTTCTAGAATATTTCATTTTTTTTCTCTAACTTACTTCTATACTCTTTCTTTCAAGTTATACTTTTTTCAGTGCTTTTTGATATGAGTATTATATGTTTTTACTTATTTTTGATTTATTAATGTAAAATATCAGAATAAGATACTTTCTTATTATTATTTTTTCTTTACTATTTCTTTTAAGTTTTTAAATAGATGTGCGTTACGTTAATTTTTAATACTGATACAATTTCGCAATTTATTGCTATTTTTTAATTATACTTTTATTTATTTATTTTTTAAAATTTTAATAAAGCATTGAATTCTATACATAAAAATTTTTTTTTTATACTACATATCTGCCAAATTACTACTTTTTATATCGTGTGTTTATTAAATATATAACTTTACAACCTAGATAATTACCTAAAACAATCAGTAGTGATGTAATATTGTATCACAATAGCCTATCCATCTTTGTTAACAAACTTTCTTTTGCCTACCCATATTAGAAAATTATCTAACTTTTCTTTCGCATATCCAAAATTTCAACTATATTAGATAATTATATTCAAAGCCTACCAGTAGGGTTGTTAATGGGTTGGGTTGGGTTGATTTGGGTTGACCAAATCTTTAACCCACTTCACTAAATTAGACTTACTTTAATATTTTGCTCTAGATTACTCCATTGTATTCCAGGTTGCTCCAGGTTGCTCTAAATTTAAAGACATAATTTTAAACCCACTTCAACTTGGGTTGGGTTCTACTCCAGAGTGCTCCGAAGTAAGCTACTCCATTAACAACCCTATCTACCAGAGAAGAGCACTCGATATAATATAATTATATTTTTACAAATTCTATAATGTTATGATGATTATTATTATATAAATATAACTTTATCTTTGATCACAAGCCCTGCCCTATATATAATACTAAAATTTATAATATTATCTCTGCTTCTAAGCCCTGCTCTACATAAGTCGTCTTATAATCAAAGCCTACCGATAATACGTGAATTTATTATTTTTTTCATTTTTATAATTTAAATTAATCGTATTATTCTTATTACTTTGTGACCCGATAATGATCACATGAACAAAACTTATTTAAACTGAGACTTTTAACTTTGCTTAAAATTTCAATATGAATTACCTGATAATTCATTTATCATTTAGTAATTATATGTGTTATCACATCAAATTTTCAGATTCCATTAGTATATTAATTTGAATTTACTCCATTAAACCTTTCAATATCCCTGCTATTCACGTATAATTTTTCATCTTTTAAATAATGGCAACACCTTCTGGTAGCTTTGCATCGTTAGAAGAATATCGAAAGCAACTCAACCGTGAATGCCAAAAACGTTTTAGAAATAAGAATAAAAAAACTACCTCAGACCTATCCATTAATGTTTCCAAAAACCTTCAAGACTTACTTAATATCGAAGTTCTTATGGTTGTAATCGAACCTCCTGCTAATAATACTAATTCTGCTTCTGCAATATTAGAAGAACATCGAAAGCAACTCAACCATGAGCGTCAGAAACATTTTAGAGATAAAAATAAAGAAACTATCTCACATCTATACATTGATGTTTCTGAAGAACTTTGACACTTACTTAACACCGAAGTCCTGCTATCGATACAAATTCTGATTCTGACAACCTCTCACCCATACTTACCACCGAAGTCCCTACCATTTTAATTAAATCTCCTATAATTGGTACTGATCTCGAGCAACTAATACCCAAAATAATCTAAAACCTTGCCATGATAAAACTATACATCATAATATGAGTAGAATGGACCAGACCTGTTGATATTGCAAAGCTAAGTTTTGGATGATAGAAAAAGATCAAAATAGTGGATATGCTGCACCGAGATTTTCCCTTTGCTGTGCCAATAGCAAAATACAATTACCACCTTTATTTGAACCCCCACTCTATCTACTACATCTTTATACTTCAACTAATTTTGATATAGTTCACTTTCGTAAGCACATTAGAGCTTATAACAGTACCTTAGCCTGCATATCTTTTGGTGCTAATATAGATCACCAATTTCTGGAGCGTGGTATGGCAAATTTTTGAATTCATAGCCAAGTCTATTATCTAATCAGATCATTATTACCAGATGAAGGTTGCACACCAACGTTTGCTCAACTATATATTTATAATACTGCATATAAAATTACAACCCATTATAACATAATGCAGAACCTAAATAAAAGTATTCTACAAAATTTACAGAATATACTAGATACTTGCAACCCATATATCCAAAACTTTCATAGC